TAGAAACGGGTTAAAACCAGGTTAGAAACGGGTTAAAACCAGGTTAGAAACGGGTTAAAACCAGGTTAGAAACGGGTTAAAACCAGGTTAGAAAATGGTTAGAAACTGGTTAAAACCAGGTTAGAAAATGGTTAGAAACGGGTTAAAACCAGGTTAAAAACGGGTTAGAAACTGGTTAAAAACGGGTTAGAAAATGGTTAAAAACGGGTTAGAAAATGGTTAAAAACAGGTTAGAAACGGGTTAAAACCAGGTTAGAAACGGGTTAGAAACTGGTTAAAAACGGGTTAAAACCAGGTTAGAAACGGGTTAAAACCAGGTTACAAACTGGTTAAAACCAGGTTAGAAACGGGTTAGAAACTGGTTAAAAACGGGTTAAAACCAGGTTAAAAACGGGTTAAAACCAGGTTAGAAACGGGTTAAAACCAGGTTAGAAAATGGTTAAAAACAGGTTAGAAAATGGTTAAAAACAGGTTAGAAACTGGTTAAAACCAGCTTAGAAACTGGTTAAAACCAGGTTAGAAACTGGTTAAAAACGGGTTAGAAAATGGTTAAAAAATGGTTAAAAACAGGTTAAAACCAGGTTAGAAACGGGTTAAAATTTAATCTTAAACCAAAAACTTGACTGATCAATAAAATTGATTTTCTGCCCAGGCCTAAGACATAGTGACATAAACTTATCAAAAAATGAGCCTCTGGTTTGTGTTTGAAGCCAATTTGGTCGTTTTTTATCACAGATCTGAGCAGTTTTCTACTGAAACACTGAAAGGATCTTTGTTGCGACAGAAAACCCGTCCAATGAGAAAGTGTCTTGCTGCCGGGTTTCCTGACTGGAAGGAGCCAATCAGGACGCGGCGACTCACCGTGATCTGCACCTCTTCGATGCAGGTGTGGATGTGAAGCACCGCGTTGTAACCGGGACAAATGATGGACTTGTGCTCAATGATGACGATCTGTCAGGAAAACATTCACACACATTCAGCACGCTTTACTGCAGAGGGTTTCCATGACAACCGCTAAGACCACTGAAGCTCGAGATCCACCTGGTGATCAACGATCAGACAGGAAATAAAATAATGATTTTATTATTTATATAACAGGATTTTTTTTTTTTTGTTTTTTTTTTTTTTTACAACTTTTAATATATTTCTAATTTTGTGTAAAAACGCTCAAATGGTTTAATAAAAAATTTGCAAAATGAGAATTTTTTTAATCCAATCAAAGTAATAAATTAGCCATCAGAATTATTGATTAATCGATGAAATAATTGATTGCTAAAATATTCCTTAGATCCAGACTGGAAAGTTTGTGCCATAATGTGGAAATCTGAAAGCTTCCGCTCTGAACGGTTTTCTCTCCTCTCTTCTCTCGGGTTTCCTGGCCGCCTGCCGGTTCTGGGCTCACCTGAGCGTCGAAGGTGCGGCCCGAGTGGCACAGGTTGTCGGGGCTGCAGAGGATGAAGCCGGGCAGAATCTCCTCCTCTTCTATTCCTTTGAGCCGCAGCTTCAGGTTCTCCCCCGGCCCGGCGTCGTCCGTCTCCACGTCGTCGCTCAGCAGGCTCAGAACCTCCACCGTGTGCTGCAACGACAACCAGGCTGCTGCTGAGTCCGGCTCGGCCCGGATGGGACCCGTTAGCACCAGGAAAAATTCACCTGGATTTACAAAGATTTTAGCCACAAAGCTCAGGATTCTGCTCCCAGTTCCGGGTCTGGGCTCCTTTTGCTTTAATTTCAGTGGCCAACCAAATAAAATCTCATATTTTTCATTGCAGATCCAATTTTATCAGATTTTTCAGTCATGCCTTCTCTGAGTATCGGGGTCAGGCTGCGACGATTTCTGTTTGACTCTGAGAAAATAATCAGAATATCAGCAAATAAAGACAATTTTACCAGAAAAACTTTTTAAAATGAGGAAAGGACTTCAGGACCGGCTGTGGCCACGTCAGTTTAAATTGTTTAAATCTAACTGGTTTCTGATAATAATGATAATAATCTGAAATAAAACCAAAACTTCATAAGAAGCTCAACATTCCTCTCTGTAATTTGTTGTTATTTTTGTTATTGGCGTTCTGATTAAATTGCAACTTTTTTCTCATCATTAATAAACAAGATGGCCGCCCTGAGCGCTGACATCACTCTGATCTACGGGAATCCAAGGAAATCCAGATAACTTAACCAAGCAGAACTCAGATAAACTGGTTCTGTGGGTTCATTCCCTCTTCGGACCCGGTCCGTCAGGCTGATGAGCTTCTCACCCTGTTGGGCATCATGACCAGCTGCTGAGCCTTACTGATGGAGCCGGACTCCAGCTTCCCCAGGATCACCGTCCCCATGTCCTGAACACACAGAAAATCACAACAAAGCCGTTCTCACATACCAATATGAAAAACGCAGCCAGTCGCAGGAATGAACCGGACCGGACCCAAAAACGGATGTTCCTGGGCGATAAATCATCCCAGAAGTTATCGTGATTAACGATAATATCGTTGTTCTGACAACTGATATAATAATAAATTCTCAAATAAACTTTAGATTCTAATGAACATTTAACTCTGGAACTGAAAAACATTTTAAATATCTGAAATAAATTAACAACAGAAACAACAAATAAATTCAATTATGAGTCTATAAACAAAATTATCCTTCAAAAAATGACGAGACAAAAACTCCAGACTGAAACTTTAATCATCCAGTTTTCAGTAGAAAGAGAAAAATGATAAATCATGCAAATGGAAATGATTGATTTTAATTTATCATGTGATTTATTGATTTATTGCCGATTGTGACAGGTCTGCCAGACTGCACAGTAAAGTTTGGATAATTTCACTAATTATTCCTAATTTAGAGGCTTATTTATGTTTAAAATCAGCAGACATGTTTGTTCCTCCTCCGCTCGGCTCCAGGTCCAGCAGCTCCCAGTTCACTGAACTCTAATCCCATTAACTCCAGTTCAGGCTGGTGACCGATGCAGCTGCAGAAACCAAAGCTGGACGGATAAACCCAGAGCGTTTCTGACCGTCTGCAAGACAAGCACCAAGACAGGACAGGCTGTGTGTGTGTGTTTCTGGATGGAAGAGCGTCTCCAGGGCCCCAGGGCGTCCTCACCTTGTACTTGTCCACTATCGGTAGTCTGACAGGCCCGTCGCTAGATCTGTTGAAGTTTGGCAAACTGTCCAGGTGGGAGATGAAGGGCAGACCCCTGAAACAAAACAAAATGGCTGCCATTAATCTGCATCAGTGCTTTACGATCCGTTACACTTCATTAACTATTAGTCAGTTTTGTTCACATTCAAAGCTTCATCAACAAACGATTGTGTGGATTTTTCTACAGAAAATATAAACTAAACAACCCAGGCCAAAATATTACAGTTCATAAAATGGATGGATGGATAGTTGGATGTACGGATGGATGTACGGATGGATGGATGGATGGATAGTTGGATGGATGGATGGTTGGATGTACGGATGGATGTACGGATGGATGGATAGTTGGATGGATGGTTGGATGGACGGATGGATGGATGGATGGATGGATGGATGGTTGGATGGATGGATGGATGGATGGATGGTTGGATGGATGGATGGATGGATGGATAGTTGGATGGATGGATGGTTGGTTGGTTGGATGGTTGGATGGATGGATAGTTGGATGGATGGACGGATGGATGGTTGGATGTACGGATGGATGG